GGGAAGGTTGTGAGGGGGAGGGGGAGCCGCGCGCGCCGGGGTGGGCGGGGCTGCGCGTGCGCGGCGGTTGCGCCGGCGGGGGCGGTGACGCCGAGGCGGCGCATGCGCAGTGGCTCGGTGAGGGTTTGTGGTGAATGTAAAATTTAATTAAAAAATAACGCGAACTCAGTTAATGGGATTTGAGGGGTTTGTAATGGTGTGAGCAGCCCCTGGGCAGCCCCCGTAACTCGAGGGTGTGGGAGCCACGGATCTCCCTGGAACCCCCCATTTGTGTGTGCCCCCCCACATAAACAACGGTTTGTTTGGGGTAGGACCTACAAACAAACGGCAGAACCGGTAAATAAATAATAGGGCGTGCACATAACGAACTGTGCGGAGATGGCAGCGCCACGGGCGGGGGTGTTACAGCCCCGGCTGGGGCTGGGGGTACCCCCGTTTGTGGGTTCCCCCCGTTTGTGGTGCTCCCGTTTGTGGGTTCCTCCCTTTTATGGGTTCCCCCCTTTATGGGGTGTCCCCATTTATGGGTTCCCCCCGTTTGTGGTGTCCACGTTTGCGGGTGCCCCCCGTTTTTGGGGTGTCCCCGTTTCTGGGGTGTTCCTGTTAATGGGGTGTCCCCATTTCTGGGGTGTTCCCCCCCATTTGTTTTGGGGTGTCCCCCATTAGCGGTGTCCTCCCCCCCGTTAGTTTCAGGGTGTCCTCCCCATCAGTCTTGGGGTGTCCCCGTTAGTTTCGGGGTGTCTCCCATGAGCGGTGTCCCCCATTAACAGTGTCCCCGTGTTTGGGGTGTCCCCGTCACTTCGGGGGTGTCCCCATGTTAGTTTCGGGGTGTCGCCCATGAGCGGTGTCTCCGCTTCTGGAGTGTCCCCGTTAATGGGGTGTCCCCGGCAGTTTGGGGTGTCCCGTTAACGGGGTGTCCCCGTCAGTCCTGGGCTGTCCCATTAACGGTGTCCCGTTTCTGGGGTGTCCCTGTGTTTGGGATGTCCCATTAATGGGGTGTCCCCGTTTCTGGGGTGTCCCGTTAATGGTGTCCCTGTGCTTGGGGTGTCCCGTTTCTGGAGTGTCCCTGTGTTTGGGGTGTCCCGTTAATGGGGTGTCCCGTTAATGGGGTGTCCCCGTCAGTCCCGGGCTGTCCCATTAATGGTGTCCCGTTAATGATGTCCCGTTTCTGGGGTGTCCCTGTGTTTGGGGTGTCCCCAGCAGTCCCGGGGTGTCCCATTAATGGTATCCCATTTCTGGGGTGTCCCCGTGTTTGGGGTGTCCAGTTAATGGGGTGTCCCCGTTAATGGGGTGTCCCCGTGTTTGGGGTGTCCCGTTAATGGTGTCCCGTTAATGGGGTGTCCCCAGCAATCCCGGGGTGTCCCGTTAATGGGGTGTCCCCGTGTTTGGGGTGTCCCCAGCAATCCCGAGGTGTCCCGTTAATGGGGTGTCCCCGTTTCTGGGCTCTCCCTGCTTCTGGAGTGTCCCTGTGTCTGGGCTGTCCCCCTTTCTGGGGTGTCCCGTTAATGGGGTGTCCCCGTGTCCGGGGTGTCCCCGGCAGTTTGGGGTGTCCTGTAAATGGTGTCCCTGTGTTTGGGGTGTCCCGTTAATGGTGTCCCCGTGTCCGGGGTGTCCCCGGCAGTTTGGGGTGTCCCCCTGCAGGGCCATGGGGCGCTCCTCCAAGGACAAGCGGGACATTTATTACCGGCTGGCCAAGGAGGGCGGCTGGAGAGCGCGCAGCGCCTTCAAACTGCTGCAGCTGGAGCAGCGCTTCCAGCTCCTGCAGGGTACCGGGAACGGGAAACCGGGAACGGGAAACCGGGAACGGGGCAGCGGGGGTGGAGGAGGGCGGCTGGAGAGCGCGCCGCGCCTTCAAACTGCTGCAGCTGGAGCAGCGCTTCCAGCTCCTGCAGGGTACCGGGAACGGGAAACCGGGAACGGGAAACCGGGAACGGGGCAGCGGGGGTGGGAGGGTG